TTATGATGGTTGTGGGAGACCAATCTTGCACGTGACTGGGTCACACTCTCCATCTGGGTGCTGAGGCGCTCAGTCACAGAAATGTGGCAGAGCTTTCCCCACCCTTCTTAGGTTTGAGGGTCGGTATCTTGTGCATGGGTGTGTCTTGCTACAGCCCCATGGGTGAAGCTATGCTCACCTGTTCCTTTGTAATATAACCCCTTGCCCTGTTTAGGATAGAATCTTCCATGAAAGTATTTTGTGTGTGTCCCCTTCTTACTGTGCCCTTGGATTTGGCCTACCCAGGTGTCAGTCAACCTGCTGATAGTGGACATCAAGAAGATAGACTCAGCCCCTGAAACCTGACCCCTTGCTTCATTTGAATAGCTTCTCCTCAATAAAAGGGGTCAGCGCGTGCACTTGCTCCATCTCTTCCTGCAGACCCTTAAGGTCAGAGGAGCCGTCACAGCGACCCCAAAGAAAAAGGTATTTGTGTCTCGTGTGGTTATTTTGTGCAGCCCAGTTAGCCCAATTCAACTGGAGTGACCCCTGAGCCTTTTAGTGTGGAGAACAGAAACCCAGCAGATGGGGACTTCATTTTTTTAAAACTAATTATTATATTTAACTCACTGCATCACACTTTGACAGTATGTCTTCTACATTTCAATATTCTAATTTTTACCATGTAAGGAAATGGGCAATGTAAAGAATGTTTGATTTTAATACTGGAAACACATGAACAGTACATAAATGCATAAAATCCACTTCCCCAAAAGACAGTTTAATCTCTTAAGAAATAAAAGAATGTACAGATGTATTAATTAGATCCAAAGAAGCCTACTTGGCATTATGCCTCATTTTTGTTTGTAGAAGGGCCAGATGCAATAACATATCTTCACCTTAGAACTGATATCTCAACATGCCCCATACTACAGGACCCCTAGAAATATCATTAAAACAGAAATCCCCTGAATTCTTTTTTTTTTAAAGAGAGAGAGAGAGAGAATTTTTTATATTTATTTTTTTAGTTCTTGGCGGACACAACATCTTTGTTGGTATGTGGTGCTGAGGATCGAACCCTGGCCGCACGCATGCCAGGCGAGCGCGCTACCGCTTGAGCCACATCCCCAGCCCTCCCCTGAATTCTTGTCAAATTTGTCAGTGCATATCACTTGCACTGTTTTGTGTCTTACCAATAAAGTCTATAGTAGTTGCTACTTCTTGTTCATCAGGTCCAATGAGCATAATGTCATCAATATAATGGATGTACACAGCAAGCACCAGAGGATACATTAAACGTCCTCTACATCTGGTACAACAGCTGCAATTGGAGTTACTGATTATGCTTATGATAAACTACTGTTACTCTGAATGATCCATCTGCTTTCCAAACAAGCAAGTTGAATTAGGGGATATGATGGAAGTCACTACCCTTATATCTTGAAATGATGATGCTAATTTCTGCAATCCCTCCAGGATTGAGAGGATGATATTGCTTTTACTTTACTATTCTTCTAGGTAAAGATAGTTTCACATATCTTTCACTTGGCCTTTGCCCTATACTCCTGAGAATCAATGTGGGGATTCTGCCAGTTACCAAGTATATCTATTCTAATTATGCATTCTGGCACTGGGGAAATAACCACAAAATGGGTTTGGAGGCCCACTGTGCCCAATGAGACAGACCAGATTTTTTTTTTTTTTGAGAGAGAGAGAGAGGGAGGGAGAATTTTAATATTTATTTTTTAGTTTTCGGCAGACACAACATCTTTGTTTGTATGTGATGCTGAGGATGGAACTGGGCTGCACGCATGCCAGTTGAGCACGCTACCACTTGAGCCACATCCCCAGCCCCTCTTTTATATTTTTTAGTTTTAGTTGGACACAATACTTTTATTTATTTTTTTGTGGTGCTGAGGATCAAATCCAGGTTCTCACACATTCTAGGTGAGCACTCTACCGCTGAGCCACAACCCCAGCCCAACAGACCAGATCTTAAACTTCATTTATCACCTAACTTCCATGAGCCCCTACTCTGGCTGGTAGACCACAGTAATGTTTTGGGTCTCCTGGAATTAGTGCCAATTCAGAGCCAGTGTCCAGTAATCCCTAAAAGATCTTATCATTAAAGGATACTGACTTTCAGGTATGTGTGTATGGTTCTGGAGATGAACTAGGACTTATCACTTACCAGTTAGCTACATTCCCTGCTCTTACTTTCTGTTTTATAATTCAAATTAGGCTTTTGTTCACTTGGCCCAGAATTTTTGCACTTACAAATGGAGTAAGACTTTAGTAGATGTTCCATATACTTAATTTCCACTAAAGAGTGACAACCATACTCCCAGTTACTCTGTAACTGAGATTTAACTCGAAATCTTTCATGGTCTGTTTGCATTCTTCACCACAATAAATTTTTGTTCCATATTTTAAAAATGTTTTAAATTTAAATGATATTTCAAATTTCCCTCCAAAATCCAATGCTTCAGGAAGCTTTACTTTTTCCCCCCCTGTGGTTATGGGGATTGAAAACAGGATCTTGTACATGCTAGGCAAGTGCTCTGCTACTGAGTTACATCCCTAGCACCCTATTATCTTTTAGCAGTAAAGAAAGTGAGGCCCATAGTATGTACCAACCCATCCTCAATCTCAAAAAACTCATTGCAATCTCTTAAAAGCTGTTACATCCAGATAGTCTCACTGTCTTTCATCTAGACCCTAACTCATAGAAGAAACCTTCAAACACATCCAGTAACACCAACATTCACATGATGGCCCACTCAATCATAATCATTTAAAACACATTAATCTCAAGGCCATAACAGTATAATCACCTGCCCTATCACTGTTATACAATTTATCTAAGTAACTGGGTACATTCACAAACCACTTCACATACCTCCTATTTCACTCAAGTATCCTCTCCCTGTGACAGTCTCAAGTGCAAATCATCTCACAATTCATAACAAAGAATCAGAGAGAAAAGCACAACCACTTTTTTCTCAAACATAAGTAACATTTCCTCACTAAGTCTGTCGTGAGGTTGTCTTTCCCATGGATTTGCCCTTCCTGCCTTTCTCAGTTCCTAACACAAAAAGCACCTCACACTGCTCCCACTCTCAAATCTAAAGCTCAGGACAAGATCTCCCTGCCTCAGAGATGGGTGATTTA